CGATGTAAATTCTCATTTGTTATAATTATTTGAGTGATGAAAATATTGTTTTAATTTTAATTAATATTAAATTTGATCATTGTGGACAAACAGTAAAGGTGCAGCCGACACAGTGAAAAATGGAAATGGCGGGTTTATGGAGGAAAAGAGGTCGAGATTAAGTGGGTAACGTAACTTAGACCCGAATGATTAGGGCATCAACATCAGATTTAGATGGGTCCTTTAAAGTTTTATATTTCATTTCTTTTTGGCTGGGTTTTTGCTTTTGCATTATTTGTCTATTGGTATTGGATAAACGTAATGGTAATTTTATTAGAATAATCTTATAAAAGGACAAATTTTCCCAACGTAATAGATTATTCGGATGGTTTCTCCCATGTTGTCATTACTCGAGGATAATATAAAACACCTGTAAGGCTGTAAGAGTTTACTCTTTAATATCACTCTTTCGTTGCATTACACTAAAATTTATATTTTAGTGTGTACGATTAAGCTCTCAATTTGATTTCGTTATGAAGGAGCCTAAATTAATATTTTCCGTTCTTTAACTTTTCATGGAAGCGTTCGGTAGTTTCAATGGAAGTTTGTTGAATTGATCGATCTAAAAAACTTACATTTTGAGATCTTATTGAAATTTCGTGGTTGTTGCAAGTACGGATGATTGGATGATAGTTGATTATATTTTGTTTTCGACCATATGTTGTAGTTCACGAAAATTAAACTAAATAATCCCTTCTCATCCAGATTTCTGACCCTAACTGCAGCCTATCACCAGATTCAATTCTTTACTGTTGATGACCGACCGGGCGAGCAATGGATCAGATTGAAAATAATTTTGGGGAAAAAGAATATTACGATTGATGCAACCATGTTTGATGGGTCGGTCCCTGTCCCTAATTCTGGTGAGACACAGGATGCCGAGCAGCTCCATATGACATTTAATTTGTCAATAGCTCTAAGGGGGTGATGGTAATAACTTGGAGATCGCGTGCTCAGCTTGGCCAGATACGGTAGAGATAAAAAGAATTTATGTTCGTGAGCATAATAGGAAACCCGGTTATCCTTACTTGGGTCCCGAGTTCGAGTATGTTACTTTATTTGTTTGCTTTATTTGCTTCATTAGACAGCTGAAAATCAAAAGGAAAAGAAGACTTGGTTTGTCTTAAAACTGTCACACCTTTTGACAATCCTACTATGAAAAATCTTCTTTCCTTTTGCAGCATCTATCGGAATGGTGTATGTTGGCTCGTTTCTTACTTTCTTTGGCTATGTTTTCATTGTGGTCATTACAGGGAATTGGATGAAGAACTGCAGGACTCACTTTATGAATTCTTGGAGGAAAGAAGTATAAATGGTGAACTTGCAATATTCTTGCACGAATACACGGGAAACAAAGATAAAACCGAGTTCATTAGATGGTTGGAAACTGTCAAATCTTGTGTTGAGAAGAAATAGAGATGCTTTTGCCATGTTCATGCTGACTTTTTGCTGTTTTCGTTAACAAAATAATTACTTGCTATTCCAATTTTTGGCTGTGCCTACATCTCTAGAAGATTGTCATTGTTGTAAAGCTTGATTAGAGATGAAACTAGCTTTCTGTAATTCCATTGATGCTGTCTCTTGCATCTATTACTTGCCGTTTACCAAATATCAAGGCAGCCCTTGAAAATCAGTTATGATATTGCAAGCATGGAACTACTTTTGAGGTGCGTGTAATTTTATAGTTATTTTGCATGAAATCTTTGCATATGATTTTTGTTTTTAAATCTTTCCATTTAGATGAAAAATTCTACAACGCTCGTCGAGCTTGTATGAGTAACGTTAATTATGAGCACCGTTAAATTAATTTATAAAATATTAAATTATAAAGTACTAAGCGTATAATTATAAATTAGTTAAAAATTTTAATGTAATTTAATTAAAATGCGATATTATAAAACATTGATTTTATAATCTTATTTTAATTATAATTAGATCAAATTAATTTGGGAAATTTATAAACCCTAATTTATTTTCATTGTTTTGAAGCCACCGCTGCTATTGTAACCGTCACTGTATCATCTTTTGCTTTCGATTTAGTCTTTGTCGATCGTCAGCGTCAAAAGATGATACTAGTGGTGGCGACGGTGGAAGTTTAAAAGCTATGAAAATAAATTAGGGTTTATAAATTTCTTAAATTAATATTTGATCTAATTATAATTAAAATAAGATTATAAAAATCAATGTTTTTATAAATATTGTATTTTAATTAAATTATATTTAGATTTTTAATTAATTTATAATTATATGTTTAATATTTTATAATTTAACGTTTTATAAATTAATTTAATGATACGTTAACGGTGTTCTTCCGTGCTCGTCGAATATGACATCATCATCTCATTTAGATTTGGTGTTTGATTATTACTGTTTAATTGTATAGTTATTTTGCATGAACCCTTATTTAAATGACGCGGGAGTATAAAAAACAAAGAGATTTGGTTTTAATTATTGAAAGACGTTGCCGCTGAGTATTTTCACCTAATTCCGCGCAATGATAGCTCCACGTTTTTCATGCATCATTTTCAAACCAAGAATTTTAAAGTGTTCCTTAATGGAGAGGCAAAATTCAAAGAACAACAAAGGATAAAGGCAGTCCAACACCAAGATTTGACAGTCCATCCGATTTTCGCCACGTGGTTAGGAAAGATGGGTCTTTCACATTCCCAATATATATACACGCATTTAATTTGATCAATTAAGACCGAAACTAAACCACTTAGTCAATTTATCAAAACCCATAATTAATGGGAGATTGAGGTCTTCCCATGACAATTAAACTGTCGTTAACAGTGAGACTTTGCTCTTATTAGTCTACAACTTGATCCTGGGAAAATCATGGTTTGTACAATAATAATTGACATGACGACATAGTCACATAGATGAGAAATCAAGGTAATTAAGATTTCAACCATCATTTTCTTGTTGGCAAATGATGCGATTGGATTTGCACTTCATAACTAGATTTACATCCAACAAATTTAATAATCCATCTATCGCTTTTACTAATTACATGGATAGGATTTAATAAACTTAATTAATTTATATAATCAATTTTATTCATTTTATTCTATTTTAATCATAATCCTTTTATTTATTGTTTTATTTTATTTCCTTTCTTATTTTTAGATAATGATTCTAACTGATTGTCATCGTCGAGTATCTCTTGATTTGAATTTATCGTCGTCTCTTTAATTGATGGATGATGTTTAGTTCTTTTTTATATATACATCCCGTGGAATACTAATAAAATTATTTATTGTCTTACTGACCATTGATGAGAAGTTTGGATACCAGTGGCCGATGAAGATTGAGGCTAATAGCTAGTCGAGCAAAACGTCCCCTGCAACCATTATCTGTTTGGAAATCAATTTTAACGACAGAACCAACCTGATTTCCAATAGCTTCGATGATGCTTCTTTTATAAAGAGTGATGGGGAGTCCAGGTAAACGGATCCATGCCATTAAACGACTAGGATAAGCTTGAGTCGGTTGAAAGTCGATAGACCATGGTTCCACAGTGATGTAGTGGCCAAAGATGGTCCAAGGTCCTTCTGTGAGCACCTTAAGATAGTCTCCATGATCGCTAAATTTCACAAGGAAAAAATCATTCTCAATATCAATTAATTTCAGAGGGTGAGAGGGTTTCCAAATACCGTAAATACGATTATGGAAGGTGTTATAACCAACTCTTCGTCCAAGGACTTTGACGACGAGCGTTAGATCCATGCTTTTGACAGCAAGAGTTTGTACTCGATCAGAAAAATCTATGGTTGGAATGCCGTTGGAGGAGCCAAGAGTGATGTCGTTTTCAAGAAGTTCGATATCATCATCCTCTAAGTCAACTGCTTTGGATTCAGATTGAGACCGGTGTCTTTGACACTATGTCCTTGTAGGATAAAGCGGGTGGAGGGCCATCACACCCATTAGAGAAGGAGCACCCTCACGAGCCATGGCAGATGGATCAGGCGTCTTCATCTCTTCTCCTTTGCTTTTTGGGTAGTCTGGGATCTACACTCGAGACTTCAGAGATCTTATTTCAAGTCACAATATTTTAATTATTATTAATGATCGTAATCACTTATATAATATTAATTCTTTTATATATATATATATTTATCGTAAAATACTAATAAAATTGTTTATTGTCTCATTTAGATAATCGCTTAGATAATATCAATTCTTTGTAATAATTTAAATTTGAGTATATTAGATAAACACTCTCATTTGAGAGCAATAGACACTTCAATTTTTCATTATCGTATTATTAATTTCTATTATGACAAATTTTAAAATACATATAATTTTGTTTCCTTGCAGCTCAAATATTTGATCAAAAGTTGAATCTCATGGTCTATTTTTTCAACTGCAAGAAGGTCAAATATATTGTCATTTGAGACAATATCACACACAAAAACAATCTAAAATGACAACCTAAAAGTAATCCCACACGTAGTTTCTGTACTCAATGTTTTGGACCATATGTTTCCCAATAGTTCAATGACTTGATGAGACTATGTATCTTTAATCCCCTTTTTTTAATAATTTCATCGAACTTTTCATTATCCTTTCGATTAATTACAGAATTACAGTTTTAAATTTGAAGTTTGAATTAGAATGAAAAAACATAAAAAATAAATAGATTAATTAATTAATCAATTAAATCATCTGAAATAATTTTAATATGAAATAATTAATTAATCATTTAAATAACTACAGTGTTACTAATATACACACAAATTTCCTTGTTAACTAAGAATAAAATATATATTGAACTCATCATGCGGTTTTAATGGTAAAATAGAATGTAGTTTATTGGGAGGTTTTGGATTCGAGTAGTTTCGTCTTATTAGTTAAAGAATGGGGAAAGTTTTTTTTTTCTTTTCCTAACTTTTAGAATTGAAAATTCCAAAATCAATCAAAGTCAAGAATGCATTAACAAAAACATCCAAGTAAAAAAGAAGGAAGAATGAAACTAGACTATGTATATTGCTTAAAGCTTCAAAGACAAGTCAAGCTTCAACTCATCTTTTTTACCATGGAAATGCTTAACAGTATCCCACAAAAATCCACCCATTCCCTCCTTGGCTGGACCAAACTTCCCTACACCGCCATCGAATCTAGCAGTGCCACTAATCCCTAGATTCAAACTCCCCATTGAAAGATGCTCGATTGCCCGTGTTCGATCAACGGGCCGTCTAGACCATCCATTATGCCATGGAGCAAAAGTCGGCTTGTGGATCATGGAGTGCTCTCCAACTCCAAGTGGTTTGTTAAAAGAAGAATACAGAGGAAGTGAAGCCATGCTATAATATCGACCGTTAGGGTAACCGAAATGGACACCGGGAAACCGGTGGCCTTGTCTCGCCAGTGTTCTTTCTCGTTTATGTGCATTTTGGTGGCCTCCCAGAGCCTGTGAGCTAAAAAATTTTCTTTGGCAATAGTTACATGAAAAGACTCTAGGCTCAGGTTCATTACCTTGATCTTGATCATGATCAGAGGACGAGTCCACCACCTTGAAACAGTCGACGAAATTCAGCTCCGGGTTCGATTCTTGATTGGAGAGGCGCAGGTCCAATACGAGATGATCTTCTTCCTTGACTTGTGGTTTCTTTTCTTCTTTGGGGGTAGTATCCATGGAGGTTCTAGGGGTGGGCGGTGGGTCTTTTGATGGTGAAACGATGGTTGAAGTTTCAGGGAGAGAAGGCTCCATTTTTGGGTGTTGCGAAATTAGTTTGTCGTGAGGGTTGATGAGGGAAGGAAAGGGTTAAATAGAAAGAGAGGTGAACTGTTGATGTTGTTGTTTATTTAATAATGCAATCCAATTCTGAAATATATATGTATAAGGTTTTATACGTAAAGTGTGATTATATATAGGGTAATTATATTATAGTTAGAAGATCTCAACAAAGTAAGAGAGATAAAGAATGAAAGGGAGAGGGGAAAGAGGCGGGAGGTTATTAAACATTTAAAACTTATGTTATAATTATTTGTAGAATAGTGTTCATACTTTTAAAAATTAGTATTAATTTTATTTTTAGCATTGTTTTGCTTTCAGTACCCCTACAGATAGCTTTTGCTCATCTTGCCGAGTTCCTTGTATTGGGATGATGTAGATAATCATTTTTGTTTGGAGTTTCAATCGAGCTTCGTTTGGGTTATATATATATATATATATATAATTATTTATATATGGTCATATTATTATTATTAATGATACGAGTTAATCATTTATATTAGTTATGTGTGGTTGTATATATATTATGGATGTGTGATTATAATACGTATGATTAATGTATATTAAATAATTAAATTGAATATATATATAAGGCATTAAATCATTTTATTTTTCTTTTTCTGTTACATACCCAAAACCATAAACCCCAATTAAAAGCCCAAAACATGAGGCCCAATTAGCAACCCAAAATAAGAGGCCCAAACCCGACAGCCCAAGACTCAAAGCAAGGTTATTAGAAACCCTAGGGTTTCCCCTATTCCAACTGCCGCCAAGGAGCACTGGCCGTTAGATTTGTTGAGATCCAACAGCCCAAATGCAGTGAACCTTAGGGCTTTGGCCTAAACCTGTCTGCCACAACGAGCCAAGCTCGTCGCCTCCACGTGTCGATTGTTCCTACACGCGCCCGACCAAGAGGCTCACCCGTGATTTTGTGACTCCCAATGACTGCAGTTGTTGCTGAGAAATTTGTCGGTCACCACAGAGAAGAAAAAAAAGCCTCGGGGTAAAACATTTACCCCATCCTTTGCATGCATCACCATCGTTTGGGATAAGGCATTGTCCCCGCTGAACTACCATCCTCGATCAAAGCATTTAGAGCCAAAAAAGGAGATAGAGAAAAAGTGAAAATCAGATATCCTTTTTTTCCATTTATATGCAACACGAAAAAGTAAAAAAAGAGGAAGACCCTTTATATAAAATACAACAACACATCAACATATCAACAAAAGGGTAGAACAGAACAAAAAAATCAGATGATGAGAAAGCCAAAATCTAGAGCATTTTCTAGAAGGAAAAACTGAAAGGAAAAAGAAAATAGAAGGAGAAGAGAAAGAGACTTATCCTTAGAGCCGACTCTCACCACCGGAGCGAGAAACGATGTTCGAAAACTGAATGTAACCCCTTCATTTTGTTTAGATCTAGGGTTGGGGGTTATTTTTTAGGGAGAGTACATGTCATTTTCAGGTTGGGGAGAGAGAAAGAAGTGTTTTGGGTTGAGTTTCTAGGACTCCGACCGCCATGTGCGGCGACGGAGGGCTCCGATGAGAAGTGGCAGGAGGCTTTCGTCCTCACCTGGCGAGGAGTAGAGATGAGAGATGGCAGAGAGAAAAAGTGTTTTCCCCTTTAGGAGAAAAATAAAAATGAGGCAAATGGGAGAGCTAGGCCATTTCGGCCATGGCTTAGGCTTATATATCCAAGCCCAAACGCCGCAGTTTTGGGAGGGAGAGTAAGCGCCTAGCACATGGGTAAACCCCTGCCCAGGTCCTTCTATATTTGTAAATTTGTTATTTGGTCACTGAAATGAATTTTCATTTATTTTAATTTATGTCTCAAGTTTCACTCCGTTTCTATTTTAGTCACTGTCCACATTTATACATGTTTTGGGTAATGTTTTATTCAATCCTTAAATTTTAATGATTTCCATTTTAGTCCTGAATGTCAATGATGGTTTATTTACGATTCCAGTGCCTAGTTTGTATAATATTTGCAATGGTTGCCCTAGTCCTTGTTGATTTTGTTGTTTGATCTTAGAAGTTGTCACCTTTTTTTTATTGTGGTCACTTATTTGATGTGTCTTTTAGTTTATGCACTTTGTATTCCAATTTCCCATGTATTTACACCGTAGTCCATATTAATTTATGTCATATGTGCAAGTAGCATGTTTTATGTACCCTGATTTAATCAAGTGTTATACGTATACTATGCGAGATTTTTTATATGTTGCTTTGGCTTAAATCTTACACGCAAATTTTATAATTGTTATCCTTGAATATGATTGGGTTAGATTAATATATGTATATTAGTATTATTTTTTAAAATATTAATAAATATTATTTTTTGTGAATAATTTATGGAGATACGCCTTAACTAGCAAGGAGTGTGTCCCGGCCAAATTGTTCGTACAAAATGGTATTATCTTATTCGAGTAAGTATTAAATGTATGACAATATCATTTCGTGAGAGAAATCATGGAAACACGCCTTAATTAGCAAGGAGTATGCCTCACAAAGATTGTTCGTACGAAATGACATCCTTTTGTTACTCGATTATTTTTCAAACATATCAAATATATATTCAATTTATTACAAAGATCAAGGAAATGGTCTTTTATATGGGGAATAAATGGAAACGTGCCTTAATTGGCAAGGAGTGTGTTTCCGATGATTGTTTGTATAAAAGAATATTTAAAGGAGAGGATCGTAATTTAAATATACCATTCAATTTTATAATTTTAAATATCTAGATGATGTATAATCGCTTAGGTATCGATTTCAGGCGCTGTTGGGGTGCTCATCATTCCCTACACGTAATCGACTCTCGAACCCTTTTCAAAACAAGTTTCTGGTTAAACGAATATCACTTTTTATCTTTTAAAATTATTTTTCTTAAAATTATTTTAAAAGATATTTTTTAGGTATTATACCTACATAACCCAAAGGTCGATGGAGACTCCAAGTTTATTTATTTATTTATAACAAAATCAATATTTTCCAAAATTAAGTTGGATCGCTCCACACTATAACCCCAAAAAGCTTAAGGACTATTTTGACAGTTTGGCGACTCCGCTGGGGATATTAGAGAGTCAGGTCATAATTGATTATACGTCATCTTTTTAGTTGAAAATGGTAAATTCGAATGATATTTAAATTTTGATCCTTATATTTCGTTTGCATCACATCGCATCATACATCGTTTATTTATTAGTTGTACTAATGTGTGATTTACATGTTTCAGATTTCTGACCTTTTTTTAGTTTGATTATTTTTGGATCGAGGCAAAGGATTGTGAGTTTCCCCTCACTCGCGCCATAAACATTTGAGTATTTAGAGCTTTCTAACTGTGCTCTGTCTCGTTAGGTAGGGGTGAACGCTACACTGGCGTCAGAAAAAATATTTTTCTCCATATGGGCTTTAGCAAGTAACCTTTGGGGTGCATATGCCTCGTGTTTAAGATCAAAACATCGAGTTTCCTCGCATGGACATGGGGAAATGCATCCTCTCGAATTGAACTCGACCCATTTAAGCCTATAATTGGTGAGGATCGAGGGTCTGGCAGGCCCAATGGGGCACCAGCAAATGATAATTCAAGGACCTGTCAGTAGTGCCGAAACTCTGCCTGTTTTGTGCTGAATTTCTATATGTGGTTCTTCAAAAGTCACAAAGCGAAAACTCACTCTAACATTTCCTCGAATTTATTTATCTATTTTGCAAAAAAAACATGAGAACTAGAAAAAATGTGGTTAGAGTTTATTTGCCAAATAAAAGCATGAGAGTAAATATCATGTTAGGTAGATTACAATGGGTAAGGTTTACGATATATTTTCTTGTTATTCGATTATTCATTGTATATAATGACACAATTCTATTTTTATTTTTGTTTGTACATTGTTGCATTATGTCACGGGGTTAGACTGCTGCTAGTAAGCTCGTGCGGCCTTAGACGTTTTCAAGGTCGAAAATCGACTAAGTGACCTGAACCTTTACTAAGCTAGAATGCTTAGAACGTTAGAAATCCCAAAGGAAATGGGGAAGCAAAGAGATAGGCGCATAAAGGAATAAGAGAGATTTGAGAGTGAATACTAGTTTGTATTTCTCAACTTGAGGTGTGTAAATGAAGGGGGTGAGCCTCCTTTTATAGTTGGAGTCCCCTACAATGAACTGTTGGGATTAAAATACATCAATGGCTAAGATGAGAGCTCTACACTATTTACAACAAGTGGGCAATAAGTTGGCATCATTATCTTCTAAGATAATGCTAAACAATTCTCATGTCTCCAAGATGGATTGGGTCAGCTCACTTGGGTCTTCTAGAAGGCCCAGAATGTGGCAAAGATAGTCCCTGGCAGCCTGGAATGAGTTTAGCTCGGTCATGGGCTGGCGGTCCGTGACATTCTCCCCCACTAGTTCTAGCGATGCCCTCGTCGCGCGGCTAGAGTGAAACTGATCAATCTTATCTCGGAATTGCCACACGTCTTCGGAAGGCTCCCAACTTCCTTCACTTTCTGGAAGTCCCTTCCACTGAACAAGGTATTCATGCCTTGGTCGATGTCCCACTCGATGAACGGCTCTCTCCGTATGGATGGCTTCTACTTCCTTCTCGTAAGAGACTTTTACCCCGACTGGCGCTCGGTGTGACTTGCCTCGATCTAGCTCTTCCTCATCCTGATGGTATGGCTTCAACAAGCCCACATGGAACAAAAGATGAGCTTTAATAGTCGGAGGCAACTCCAATCTATAGGCCATGGTGCCTACTCGCTTTAGAACTTTGAATGGCCCCTCGTATCTTCGCACAAGCCCTTTGTGATATGGGTTGCACAAAATGCCACTTAATTTGGCAAAGACTAGGTCACCAACCTCAAAATTGACGTCCCGACGCTTTCGATCTGCCCACTTCTTGGTTCGCTTCCCAGCCTTGTGCAAACAAGCTCGAGCTAGTTCATGTTGTTCTTGCCATTTCTTGGCAAATTGGTATGTTG